TTATAGTATTTAAATGGGTGTATATCAGTTGGGCACGGGGCAATTGGACACAGTCCAATCACAAGTCGCTGTTCCAAGGGACCCTACAAAAGTCTCTAATCACACGGTGCTGTGATTGGCTGTGTCCAAATGCACCGTGTCCAAGTGCACCGCTCCCATTTAAATCATTATGTTGTTCTCATAGTCCTGAAAGTCGTCTATGATAAGCAACAAAATTACCTGGTATTTTCTGCAACAACATCTATCAGTCTGAAACATTGAAATCATGTTAATTATGTGTTAAAAAGAGATACGTAATTTCACATGTAAAACAATTATATCTATATTGCTTTGCCAATATCAATATCGTTGGTAATTCTTTAAGTTTACAAGATTTTGCAGTATATTGAAGATCAGCTCTGATATCTAATTCTATGAAAATATGGCAATTAGTTTCGGTTGTTACAACAGACCAGCCACCACATTGACATGGTTTGTTGTAAATAATATCATGAAATTTCAATACTTTCTGTAGAGCATGAAAGCCTTTCTGTTTAATTACATTATGATTGGGCATTAACGTTAATTGCACTGTTTCATGCTCGCTACACTTATTGCATTTCTCCATTTGACGGGAACTTGGCATTGAATTTAATAGTTTCATCCAAACTTCAGCCGGACTATCTATTGCATCGTAAGAAGAGATAATCTCGTGATGTTCAGTTTTTTTAATAATTTGAGTATTTTTATACAAAGGTTTTAATAACTTAAACCTTTCTTTATACACTTCATGATTTGGGCCGTTGTCCATAAATTTGAAGATAAACTTAAAGAATGAGTTATCAGAAGTTTCGGCGATGGAAAAATATCCAGGATCATCCAAGACACTGGTGAAAATAATTTGTGCAAGAGAGTCAAAAGGGCAAGTATTTCTTAAAAAATACATTTTACCTTCAATTTTATAAATTCCACATAAAGACGCATTTTTCAATAAATGTTTTATGTTCTTAGTGACTAACTTATTGTTTAATGTCACTTCAGGATAAGCAGAAAAGAACTTTGAATGAGATGGTTTATGTTCGAAATGCTCTTTTGTTTCTAAATCAGTAGCCTTCACTTGTTCTATCTTGATCGAGTCATTTTTAATTTTGCTGCTGATAAATAGCGTTGATTCATGATTGAGAGTTTTCGGACTCTCAGTAGTTGTTCCGATTATTTCACATGACGTCAAATTATCCTTAGAATTTAATAACGCTGAAATCGACAGATCTCCTGTGTCACAACTCGTATTAATATGTATATCATTAATTAATTCCTCAATGTTTTCATTATTTGATTCGGCATTCCAAATATATTCCATTCTTTCTTCGTTTTCATTAAATGAAAATATAGATTCGGCTTTTCCACGCCAGTTTTCTCTTGATAATAAATCTGAATCATTAAATAATCTAGAATAACAATGTTCCATCCTTGAATTCTGTGTATTAACATAAAGTTTAGTTGAGCTTGTTTTTGCTTGAGCCATAGTATATTGTTGAAAATCTTTTGGCTTCCAGGTTGGCACTATATTCTTATTCACAACAAAATTTTGCATTTTTGTTGAAAAACTTCGTGTACCCCCTATTAAATCACGGAGATGAATTTTGATAAAATTATCAATTCTTTGTGGAAGTGCATAGTTCTTAAATACTTCATTCTTTATATCATGAAAAATTCTCTCACAATAGCTTGTGGTTGGGTGACTTGTATAAAAAGGAATACACACTGCTGTCCAGAGTGGAAATTCTTTTGCAAGTCTTAACAATCGATCGATTAATTTAGGTAAATAGAAATAATTATTATTGGCGCCTTCCTGAACTACTGATTGTGCTGCAACTTTTATATATTCAAAAAGGTCATTGATTCTAATATTGTCATCGTTTACTTCGTAAGCGTCATTATTTAACAGATCATTATTAAAATCGGTAATTTGTAAATAATTATCTATATCAGTAGGACGCTCTTTTATTAACATCTCCAATTTTTTCCTTGATTGTTCAGGTGTTTTTCAGGTGTTATTTGTGGATCTAGCAATTTTAAATTTACGGTTGAATCCTCGTAATATTGAAGGCCAACAATGCACGTTAGTGAAAATATTTCGATAAAATCCTGATAACTTTGGCAATCTATCATTAAAGCGATGCATCGAATATAGAAGCCGCGTACAGGACGTAAAGGATAATTTTTTAAAGCAGGCCATCGACAAATCATGTTGATTAAATGTGCAACGTCAAACCTTATATATGTTGATATCCACTCTCTTGAAACATATTCTGCTGCGGAAACAGCATTGAAACAAATTTCAACATATTTTTTTATGGTAATATCATTGAAAGCCTTTGAACAAGCCAGTAACATTGCTCTGGAATAATCCACGACCACTTGGGTTGGCTTTCGAAATTTGACCATACGTAGCCACAATTTCAACCAGTGTTCAATTGTCTCAGTTTCTTGTGATTCTGTTAGTAATTGGTATACTGCCAAAGACGTATTGTCAAAATGTACGGCAATCACGTATAGAAAAATATGAGCTGATTTTGTTTCCAGTGATCTCTTTAATTTTCTAACAACACTGCCAGTTGCGTCAATACTAATAGAAGAAGAATTTTCATGCATATTGTGATATTGATCATAAACACTGATTTGTTCACCAGTGCCATAACACACTTTGAATGGCACATAACTTACTAAAGCAATAGCACCTTTATAAGGATTTTCGAAATTTAAACGATAAATTGCCTGTATAATATTTTCGTTCTTCATTTTTGCGGAACCTAATTCTTCATCAATTGCTTCTTTCTTAGCATGTCGAAGTATATCTAATGAAGGTATTATTGGTGCATCAACATCTCCAAGACGCATATCTTCTCTCACTTTTCTTTTTCGCAAGTTTGAGCATCCTTCTGTAATTGCTGCTTTGCCTATTTGTTTCCGTTTCTCCCCATTTAAAGGACGCTGCAAAACTTCATGAATTTGACCTCTAGTATCTCGGGTTTTCACACGTATCCAAAATTCACCAGTATTGGCTGACGGTTCTGTTTCAACAATTCCTTTGAAGGTGTTGCCACATTTTTTACTCTTGCAACTTCTGATGATCTTGATATATTTGCTATGAGAGGATACATTTACATTTCCTCTCACAAATGTGTATGCACAAGGCAAATGATGTTGTCGATAAAATGCATCAGCAATAACGTTAGGGGTGTATATCAGTTGGACACGGGGCAATTGGACACAGTCCAATCACAAGTCGCTGTTCCAAGGGACCTTACAAATGTCTCTAATCACACGGTGCTGTGATTGGCTGTGTCCAAATGCACCGTGTCCAAGTGCACCGCTCCCTAACGTTAGTCCATACCCATGGTCTTAATGTGTGCTTGGAATTCTTGTTTCCGAATTCAAGTGGTTTAATTTGTTCTCATTCGTTTAAAGTCAATATTAAGTCAAACCAAGTGTAATTGTTATCACAAGTAGAATTGAATGAGGCGTCATTAACTGATTCATTTACTGATTCATTATTGCTTTCAGTAGAAACTGTTATGTTCGTAGATGGATCCAGTAGGTCAAAACCCATTTCTCCTCTTGCAAGAGAAAGTATTTTTCGTCTATCATATTTAACATTAACCCACCAGTTATGGGCACTCCATGCATGTTGACATCTCTTACTCATTTTCTTCCAAATTTGGTCCGAGTAATTAGGTAACTTATCACCATAGATTTCCGAGAATTCCTTTAAAATTGCCACTGCAACGTCAACAGTTAATTTATTTTTTCTTGGCATTTTTATAATATATAACGTATAAGTATCAATCGTATATATAATAAGATTCTTTTATTAAAATTTAATATGAAAAACTTTCTAAGACTTTATTAAGATATTGCAGTCTGTTCAACAATCAATATTTCTCTTTGATACTCTTTTGTTTATCCATGATTAAATGTGACAGGCAAATGTTATGGCGCCTTTTTTAATTTGGGCGTACAAAATTTTCGTTACTTGTCTGTATTTATAAATGAAAATTCTTTATAAAAATTATTTTTTATAAATAAAAGTTATTATTTGTGAAGAAATGAGAAAAAATTAATAATAATTTAATAACATATGTATAAAATATACAATTGTATACGAAATTATATACAAAATATCACAAAATGTAATATCAATTTTATTTAAAAGTACAGCAAAAATGAAAATAGTAAGTATAAGAAAAACATGAACTTAAAAAATTATCGATGTAACAAATTTTATCCTATTAACAAAGTATATACCATGTAAATCTTCATACATCTGTATTGCTTATACGTTAAAATGTATCAAGTTCTAAACTTCCAAGTATCAAAACAGGATACAAATTGAGCACTCTACAGAGCGTCTAGGCTTGCGTGCTCCACAGAAAGCATTGAAATTTCATGATATTTACAATAAACTGTCAATGTAGTGGCTGATCTGTTATAATAACCGAAACTAATTGCCATATTTTCATAGAATTAGATATCAGAGCTGATCTTCAATCTACTGCAAAATCTTGTAAACTTAAAGAATTAGCAATAATGCTATATTGGCAAAGCAATATAGATATAATTGTTTTACATGTGAAATTACGTATCTCTTTTTAACAC